CAGATAGAAATAATTGCATAGATAAGAAGATGCATATATATAAAGTTGCATATATTGCATTCCAGGTCGGATCTCTTCCAATCACACAGAGGAAGCAACATATGACTGACAGATAAAAATCAAGCAAACAATTTTCTATAGACCTACTTTATCAGAACCCCCCAATCGCCCTATCAGTACCAGAATTAAGGACATAAGTCCATACATCGAGGAAATGTTGAGCCACAATTCTAGATACATATGACTTTAATGTATCCCTCAGGTTCCCATGTTTATCTCATTGCTCAATCTACCCAAGCGCCGTATTGTCAGTCCAAATAGAACTATCTAAGTCCATACTGCCAAGTCCTTTCATTTGCCAATCTAAGTCTAGTCCTTTTGAATCCTTTGTGCCTACCAGCACATTGAACACAGAGTCTAGACAATTCAGCTTTAGTACATTACACGAATTTCAGATTTCCCTTTAGCACTATACTTCATATCACTTCCCCATAATAATACCTACAAACAAAAAACTATAAGAAAATAAAAGATTGTCTTCAAAACGAATCATTTTAAGAAAAACTCAGGAGTATCGAGAAGAAAAACTCAAACCGTAATTCACCAATAGAAGTTGGAACCAAATGATTTGAGAATAGCACGCATATTTTAATCTCGGAAAAGATCCAAAAAAATTTCACATCGTTAAGTACAAATCTCATTTGTGATCCACTCCCTATCTTCCTTTCCCGCAAAGGACACATACTCTCATACAAAGTTCTGAGTGTTATACAGTTGAGAGATGTACCCTATCATGTGCTTGGAACAACCACTATCAACAAACCGAAGTCTGTTGATATGCCTCCATAGTTGTTCCATCACAGAGTGCGGAATTAGTTGGTCTTTGGAACCCAGTCCATTTTGAAACTGGGATGACCTTTATCATCTTTCCAAGGTACTCTCTCCCATGACATATCATGCTTATCACAAACAGAAGATGAAGAAATGTTAGAATCATTTGATGATTTGGGATATGAACTTTTGGTACCCATCTGTAGTCGGGTTTCACCCATTTCTTGTTTGATCGGATGGATGCCTTAGCACTTGATTTTGAACTTGAAGCCGATCGTCGAGATGACTTTGATCCAACCGGTCTTGGTTTCACTGGAGCATCTCTTGAATTGGACTTCTAGGCAGACATTCCCTTCTTGTTCTTGGGAGTTGGATTCTTGGCCTTTTTGGCTTTCCAGTCACCATTGCGCGATTGTGACCTCGAAGGGTTTCTTTTGGAAAATCTCCCTCTTGTGGCATTCTTCCATCCTTGTGCATAGTAAGGAACATATGTGTGATTTGAACAATTTCTGGCAATGTGTCCAGGTGTTCCACAGTGAAAACATTTTTGTTTCTTCACGTAGGAGTTGTTTCCTTCCTGACCCTGGTGGCGTGCTCCTGCCTTGTCTCTGATTGTTCCCACAAGCACACTTGCATCAATCACTCTGTTTCGCTTGTTTTGGTGGCCTGTATTTACCAACAGCAGGTTGATTAGAAGCAACAAAATTAGAAACAATAGATTCAGAGTTCAAGGAGACATTTGTTTGACAATCAACAGAATCAACAGAACTAGAACTAATTATGTTCTCCTTGTTCTCTTCTTCCAATACTTTACGTGCACAGGAAGTAGAAACATTAGAATCATTTACCTCAACACTCTCAGTTTGGCCTGATTGTTCAGTCTTAACGGAAGCTGGTATAAGGGGTTGGCCAAACTGAGCAGGTATTTCTTCCTCATTTGTTTCAAGCGGTGGGTTATAATTGTCATTGAAAGGAGGTGGAACACTATGATACCCTAGACCTTTACTTTGATTATCTTTAAACTTTAATTGTTTTTCAATCATCGATGCAACTACCTCACTTGACACATCAAATTTCTTAAAGGTAAAATCTGCATCTTTATATTTAGCTTTCAATGCATCAAGTTCGACATTTAAGCTAGCAAGTTGTCTCTTAAGATAGTCATAATTCTCACACTTGTTACTATATTCTTCCTGAAGTTTCCTAAAGTCCTTTGTCTTGGCCTCTAGTTGTCATTTTAAGGGTTTTTGCACCTTCCTAAGTGTATATCCTTCATATTTAAGGTCCTCATTTTCTCTTTTTAATATATCGATTTGATCATGAATAAACTTAATTGTAGCTTCACAAGATTGAGAACATGAAGTTTCATTACCCTTGGTGATTGAGGAACTCATTGTTTACCAAAAATGCCCTTTGACTTGAAACCTCCAAAGTCAACATCGAAAGTCAACCTGGTCATAATCAAATAAATTGTTCAAACTCTCAACCGATATATAATGCGATGTGACCTATGTACTTTTATTAATTTATGTTTAAATGTGTGCTTAATTTGTATTGTTGTTTAATGCTTATTTTGCATTGTAATGTCATATTTAAATGCTTTTGAAAATTCATAACAATGTAAATACATTCAATATTTGTTTTTATTTGAAAGTGTTTGATTAAATTTATTTAATGATGTAATTTCCTAAAAATATCACAAGAAGTGTAAACATTGTTTTTAAATAAGGTAATTATATATATTATAATATATATATATATCTATTATATCTATATATATATATATATATATATATATAATAAGGTTAAAAAAAATTGAGTTTTTAATATTATACAAAATTAAATATATAAGTTAGAAGGAACAAAACTATAACATGTGAATTTTTGTTTTGTTATAAAACTAAGGCCTTCTGCAATACATACCAGGAAGGGGTTCATGGCCTAGGTAGCCACAGTCATTATTCGTGCACATCATCCCGGGCGATCGTGGTCGAGCATGGTCGTGAACTATTATTGTGGCTTTAATGAGTGACAACGTTCAATAAGAGTCTTTTGACCGTTTGACTTTTTGACTAGCCGTTCAACGGAATGTCTTTAAAAATTAATTTTTTTAAACAACCATTTACCTATATAAATGTCATAATACACAACCTTATTTTTTTATTACATTCTTTTCTTTCTCCATTTACATACACAACTTTCTTTACAACTCAAAACCATGGATTCCAACCAAAATACCCCCCCCCCCCTCCGAAGCTATCGAAACCGCAAACCCGATAACACTTTTACGTTAGATACAACTCCCTACCTATACCTAAACATGGAATCACCTCAAGGTGGTTTTGTAAATTTGCTCCAAACCGATTCATCTATCCAACAAACACAACTTTTCCAACAATAATTTCAAGCTTTCTCGCCCTATCAACAACAATTTCAACCAAGTTTCGTATACCAACAAATTTTCTAACCACAACCTTCACAACCACAACAATCACAACCCCCACATTCACCATATTTTGTATCCGAAACACAAGCTTCACACTATCCCAACAAAAAACAATGAAAAAAAAACTTGTTCTAACTAATGCAACCGATAGGGTGCCATGGACAAAAGAGGAAGAAGAGAAGTTACCAGAGGTATGTGTATCAACTTCCCAAGACCCAATTGAAAGAGATAGTCATACCTATAATTGTTTTTGGGAGAAAGTGTCAAACGTTTTCTATCAAATTAACGGGAAGTGAAAGTCAAAATATCGACCAAATTAGCTCAAAGTGGCGCGATTTGACGCTAAAATGTACCGAATATGGATGAATTTATAACAACCTATACGAAAGCGGGTGAAGTGATTTCGATATGTTTAAGGAGGCCTTGGATCAATATGAAAAAACAACGGCAACCCGCAAAACTTTTTCATATCTGATAGATATTGAAGACGAGCAACCTCTTCGTCGATCCGTTTAAAGAAATAACGCTAAAAAAGGCAACTTCGTTGGCTTTAGGATCTAGCGTTATCGATCATTTTAGAGACAAATTGGATCGATATGTCCATAGAAGAGAACAAGGTGGAGATGATGAGTCGGTTGAAAAAAAATGCTAGAAGCGCAAACGTTATTTCAAGAGGCACAAACGACGCTTCAAACAAAAACCGATATGAAGATACTGAAAATGAAAGCGGACGATCTCGAGGGCATTTGGAGATTTTTATCGCGATGAAAAGTTCTTCGAACCAGGTATAGGAATAGGGGGTAGTTTTTTTATTTATATTTGGCATTTTTATGTTTTTTTTAACGTTGCGTATTTTTTAATTAATATAATGTTTTTTAATGTAATGGTTTATTTTAATTGAATGAAAAAACTAATTTTAAAAAATTATATGTTTTATAGTATTCTTGAATTAAAAAAATGATGTGAAATGGTGTTTTAATGGTTAGATACTATAATGATTAGTGATAAGTATTATGTATGGACTAAGAAACTAAAAAAAAGATGGGCCGAAGCAAATAGCCCCATTTCTCAAAGCAAAAAAAATCATCTTATATATTTCTACCGATCATTACCAAAACTAACCTATTTATAAAAATAAAAAAATAAATATAAATATTAGCTTATGTACCTATATAATTAAGTCAAACTCATATCTATGTACTATGTATGATTTTATGTGGAAAGTTGATAAAAGTTCCAAGTATTTGAAGTATATGCTCTTGTTTTCTGCCAACAAATACGGAGGACCACCATTTTTCATCCAGAGGTTGATGTGAAGTGGAGTTTTGTTGATGATGAAGAACACTGGAGGATAAATCGATTTAGAGGGAAAAGAAGGCATACATGATCCATGGAATCAGTAAGGGTAATGCAGTTAATGGAGAGGGTAAAGACAATTAAAGTAAAAATGCTGCCTGCGGGTGTGAAAGACAATTAAATTTCCAAAATTTAATGAGATTGTCAACCATCAATTTGTTTTTTTCTTGCATTTCTTCTTCAACGCGTTTCGGAAAGAAGGCAACTTCCACCTCAATTTGTCTATTTGCTTGCATTTTCAACAATGACGGAAAGCATGCATCAACCTAACTATGCTCACGACAAAAAATTATTTCACAATATATTCAATTTCGTTACATGAAAATGAAATATATACCATAACAAACAAACATAGACTAAAGATTAAATGAAGCAAACCACTATCTTCTTTCTGGTTCTCTTTTCTATACTTATCACCAATGCTCAATCGAGGGACAAAATCGTAACTTCCAAGCAACATGTCAAGAAACGCTCACTTCTTGTTTCCGGCAATATTACACAGGCACAGATGACGATTAGCAGCTTTGAGAAGGGCGGAGATAGTGGCAGGCCGTCTGATTGTGACGGGAAGTACCACTCGAATAGCGAGTTGATCGTGGCATTGTCTTCCAGGTGGTATAATAAAGGGGAAGGGTGTTTTTTTGTAATTAATATATATTATCATAATAAAAGTGTAAAAGCTAAGGTGATTGACCAGTGTCGCTCTGAAAATTGTCCTGATAATATTGTGGTGGCGTCTACAGCCGTTTGGGAAGCACTTCTGGTGCCTCAAAGTGAATGGGGGGAAGCTGTGGTTACTTTTTCAGTACCGGTATGAAATAAAATCCTACTTTGTATTCGTTATTTGCATTAATTATAATTCCAAGTGTAATCAATAAGGTAACCTACAATATTAATAAAACGAATTAGCTAACTTTTCCTATTGTGAAAGGGAATTCAACTATGTGTTATAAATGATCAAACTAATCGTTCGTTTTGAGGATTTATGGCATTAGAACTTTAGACTTTAGTTAGACTTTTAGAGGGATTTGTGTCTACCAACCTTTGATTTGTTTATTTAAGGTGTTTATTAACTTATTGTATTATTATATTATTGTATTTTTGGTACTGTTAACAACGTGTTTTTAATGTTTGCATAAATTAAAATTAAAAGTATTTATTGACTAAAATAATTAGTTTTTGATAAGTTTGATATAGATCCTATAAGAAATAAAATTTCGGTAAGAAGGTAATAAGTTTTTTTCTGCATAATTTTTTGACGAACTAAATAAATAAATCATTAGATGAATCAAAAATAACATGATTCACAAAAAAATTAAATTCCCAAAAAAGATCTTGGTGATTCATTTTTACGATTATTTTGTTGTTATTCATTAAAATTGTCATAAAAATGAATTTTTTCTTGATTACTTAAAAATGAATTACAAAGGTGTTTTTTGAGAATTTTCTCTTATGAATCATCATACTTTTGATTCATCTAATAATTTATTTTGCTGGTTTGCTAAAAAAAATATGTATATAAATTTTTTTTACCTTCCTACCAAAATTTTCTTTCTTATTTGTTTTTGGTTCTTGATAAGTTAGTGGATTCTAACCTATCTAAAATAGCTTATGACTTATTTAATCCAATTTATCAAATTAAGCCTATTCTAGTTAAATTTTCTACTAGATGTCTGCCCGCGAAAAGCGACGACGAAAAATAGCTTTTTTGGCCGAATAGTTTCTTATGGGAAAATAATTATTGGATTTTATTATTAATTATTATGTAAAAAAAATTACTATTTTTAAATAAAATATTTATATTTATACCTTATATTAAAATTGTCTGTTTATACTATTGATGTAAATTAATTAATATTGGTGTCTAGTTTAAAAAATATAAATAAATTTAAATACAAGAATTTAATATTTTGAAATTTTAATTTTGCTCCAAATTGAATTTCTTAGTTACTTTCTGTAATTCAAGTCTTCAAACTTTTGACAAGTATTAATGAATTATTTATGCATAACTGATTTGTGAAAAAATACTTTATAATTTATACCTTTTAAAATTCAATATATGACAAATATGTTTTATAAGATAGTATAAGATGATTAGAATTAAACCTATTGTAGTTAATTGTTTATAGTATGTTTCTCGGTCATTTTACATCTTTAAGTAGAAATTGGGAAACAACTTATTAACTTCTTGTGTTTTGATATCGGATAAGTTAATATAAACACTTTTGTAAAGCGTCGATTTGACATCGAAAATGCTAATAAACACTTTTACAAATAAGCCTAAATTGTTTTAAAAAGACAATCTCAAACACCCCTTAGTTTCATTAAAAATTGGATCCAAATTTTTAGGACATGAGGCAAACTAATACTTCAAAATGTATAGTTCGAATCTCTTTAAAATGTTGTGATTATTGACATTTCAAACACCGATTTTGAAAAATCCTTTTATCATTTTTTTTTCATTTCTCATATAGTTGTGTCGTCCGGAAGTATGTTTTTAATCACAATTCATGTATATTGTTTCGGACTAGGAGTTGCACTCTCGATGCAACAAAAATACCATAAATGATAGCAATGATATAATTAGTTGTAAAATTAGACGATATTTAAGTTATCATGTTGTTATTTAAGTTATCATGTTTAAATGGAAAATGACATAAAAACTTATTAATCCATGTGTATGTAAACAATAGTAAATTAATATTATAAAAAATAAAAAGGTCTCAGTGACATACTATGGCTTATATCAAGTTTTAAGTAATATATGAAATACGTATTTTATAACGATATAAAAGACAAAAAAATGTATTCTATAACTATAAAGGAAAACTAATGTTGAGACCGAAATTATATAATATTTGATGTATGTTGGATTAAAATAAATTTATATATCGTAATGTAAATAAAAATGGGATTGTCTCAATGATATATTCGATTTGTAGCGAGTATTTATTACCTAATTAAACTTATAATAGAAAATTAAACTAAACATATTAATTTAATTTTAAAGCTAAATATAATAATAGTAAATATATATAAAGATAAAATAACATCAATAATAATAATAAATATTAAAATAATATTTTTTATTAATATAAATTACAATCGAAAATTAAAAATTGGTAATGGTACATATAAATATAAGAGTGAATATTCATTATAAATATGATTATTTCAAAATTAAAGCAAAAAGTTGAACCCATGCTCGCAACCATATCTATAGCATGTGTGCCCTTTGTGATGACCACCATGAGAATAATTACGACCATTGTTGTGATGTTCATGAGAAATAGGCGCATCATTAGTATCGGTGAAATGAGATCTTTTCGCATGTTAGTCTTGCTTGATACGTTAAGTTTCTTCTAGAAGCAATTGAGCTCGTGTTTCCTTAAATTCGGGGATGAGATCAGATTGTTGAATGAAGGTTGCAGATGTATAATACTCATTCTTTGTGAGACCAAAGAGAGAAGGTGTACGACCATTTTCGTTTCGAAACTGAGGATCTGACAATGACAACTTGATTAGAGAGAGTTTTGAGACTGAAACAGTACTCATAAATGTTTGAGAATCATTTGAATCGGGTTGTGTTGATGTAACATCATTATTTTTACGATTATATTTTTAATTTAAATAAAGGAAAACATTAAATAAATAACGGAAATTATAAAAGTAAAAGTAATAAAAAATGATCTAGTGGGGTTCATAAATAAAAAACATATTATAAATTAATTTGAGACGGAAGGGTTATTTATGTAAAAGAATTAGAAATGTGAGTCTGACCTTTTGGACCTTATAAATACTTGTGCCCTATGCGTGTGTACGACACATAGCTCTTGGGAGCTTCTAGCTTTTATAAAAAACTTGGAAGAAAAAAGTTTTGTTCGACAGCAGGAGCTTTTAGCTTTTTGGTTAAACAAAAAGCTTCAAATCCAAAAGCACTTCAACTAGTGTTTAACAAAAAACACTTTTAAATTTTAACAAATTGACTTAAATATTCTTTAAAATAAATAAATCATATCCATAATGTTGGTCAATATTTTATACGATTAAATATAAATATATTTTAACAAATTATGAGGTCTTTATTTGAAATAGAATATATATCTTATTGATCGGTTTTATATGCAGCAATACACTAGATTTGTAGTTATTAAAGATCGAGTATATGAAATGAAATCAGAGTTTAGATTGAATCATGAACACAATGAGTAAATATGATCTGGATGGCTCAATTAAACTTCTAAAGGTTAGAAAGAGCGAATAGAATAAGAACACGAAATGCGCGAGAGTTACTCTATCTCTAGTATCTATCCCTATTTATAGGCATTACAGAAGCTTACAAAAAATACGTAAGGGCTAAAACTATTAAGCTTCAACATACAAAAGTGCCCCTATGAAATACATACAACAAAAGCTGACATACAGTCTTCGACACTAAGATAGACTCATGAACCTTCGACACCTCACAACACCATTCAACCTCAACATTCTCCCCCTTTGTGAGCAGCGTCGAGTCCTAGGTCATTAGCATCTTCGTTGCCTGATGAATAACTCTTCTAATCTCCATGTACCAAACAATTGTTCTTCGAACTTCAGCTTTTTCACCTTCAGTATTCCTCTTGCATTTATTGATACGAACTAGTAGATTCGTATACTAAGAATTAGTGTATCTTTCAACATCCTCAACTCTGAAAAAAAAACTTGGTATTCTTGTTGTTTTTATTATTCCCAACAAAAACTATCCCCAATGGTTTAACACATATTTCACCATCATCAAATTCTTTCAAGCTTCCTACACCTTTCAACAAAGATTGTGGCATAGTAATTTGTTTCCCTCTGCCAAAGCCAACTCCACATCCATTAAGGCAAGACAATCATAATAATTGTTAATGAAAAGCTTGATATGTGCAAACCCGAGCAAAAAATCTTCTTTGCTTGCCACCACTACTAGAAAACAGCCATTTAATGATGCGCAAACAATGACACGCGGTGATTTACGATGCGCAAACAAAAATAATGTCATGTCTTCTAAAATTTGAAGGATAGAGGACACGCTTTTGTGTGTGCCCTCAAATTAATGTGCAACAAAAAAAATTAAAAACATGGAGGGTACTTATTTAAAAATGGGTGTCGTCTAGAAATGTCGCTTTATATTTTTTTAATGAAAGGCGCGTTCTCTTCTTTTGCAGCTGGGGGGAAACGAAAATCCCAAAAGTTTGAAAGGCCGCCATTGTTATCCTCTACCTTATTTCAATCATTCTTTTCTCTCTCTCTCTCTCTCCCAAAAGTTTGAAAGGCCGCCATTGTTATCCTCTACCTTATTTCCATCATTCTTTTCTCTTTCTCTCTCTACCTTATTTCCATTGTTATCCTCTCCTATATACGAGACCCTTTTCTGAAAATCTAAGGTGTTTATGGCAACGAGGTGCTTGCTTACCGACCATGGCTATAGAGTTGGATTTATGGCCGTTGGATGCATTAGACGACTGTTGTTGGCTTCCCCCTCACGCCTCCGTCATCTGGTGGTAAGGTGTATGCTTGCCTGTCTCAACCTCCTCTTATCCCTACCACATCGTGACGTGACATTGGGGTTCAAGAAACGACACCGTTTACCGGCCGAGAGATGGCTGCCTGCTTGCTTTTGGTCATCCTGACCTAACGCTGAGGCAAGAGTCTTCACTGTGGGTTTTCCTTAAAGGCGGCGTCGTTTCCCCCAAACTACTTGCCACCTCGTGCTTTGTTTGAAGTGTCGATGAAACGTGCCTCACAACCTCAAA